GCAAGAGCGTCGGTGAACGTCTTACATGAGGGCCAGGCTGTTTGATTTCTCCCCAAAACGCTATGTTTTAGAGCAATGTGTAAAAAGGCAGTTATGTGCTATGTGTTCAAATCAGAGAAAATTTTAGGGAGAATATCTAGGGAAGAGCTAAAACATGTAGTCACTTGAGAAAAACCAGTATACTTTTCTCAAGTCAAGAGAATTTTACAAACTTTGGTATAATCGATATTGAAATAACTAGGATCTCTATTTCCTGATTCTGTGATTTTTGACACAACAGAAAGAGGATTTTGGTCATGTTATAGCTATACATTTCTACCTTGGGCTTTTTAAGAAAAAAATTAAGTAAAAAGATCCTCCCTCCAATTCACATCATCAGATGGCTTTCTGGTCCATCTGATCCACACTATGTTAAGCTGAGTGGTTTTGCATTTGTTTGCTTTGCAATGACAGGGCAGAAAGGCTACCTCACAAAAGGACTATGAAGCTTGGGTCATTGTATGAGTAAAGGTTTCTACTAGGTGTAGCTTTTCTTGAATGAGGTCTTAAAAGGTTAGAGAGATGTGTAGAAAGTGGAGTTCTGAAAACCAAAGAAAATGAGCATTTGCGAATGATAGCTGTGAGGACAGAAAGATGGGAGCCTTGTGTTAGAAGGTGTGCTCTTTGTGGAATGGCAGCTAACTGCTTTTCACCTTCACTAAGGTCGGGGGCTGAAATCACACATAATTCATGTTAGTGATGAGGAAATGCTGAAAGGATGCGGTTAACAAGGAAAAGCATGGATGTCTCTCTGGGGTCCTTTGAAATTAGGGTGGTTGCCTTTGGACCCTCTGAAGCGGCAGAGAAAGCAGCCTGAGGAAGAGTCTGCGAGGTCTAGTGCAGTCCTCCAGCCAGCCTTGAAATGCCGTCCACCATCCAGCTTCACGGGCTGCCCCCACCCTTCCTTCTGCCCAGGCAAGAGAACACTGTGCTGCCTGCCTCCATCCATGGTGACCATAGCTTCGTGGAAAATAAAAAATGATTTCCCTGTAGGAATTCCTGCTATGGAACTCAGGGTTTCTTCTAGTCAAGCTGGCCTGGGATCTTTTGTGGCCATGTGACCTGGGGGAGAAAGAGCCTTGATGACTCTTGCCTCTGTGTGGAGACTCTTCTGTTTTTGTTTTCTCTTTTTAGCTAAACATTTGAGTCAATGCTTATCTGTTCTCTTTTTGGTTAGGGTTCTGTACATTCCAGACCGCGAGCACTGAGTCAGGATGGGAAAAAGACGCTGCGTTCCTCCACTCGAGCCCAAGTTGGCAGCAGGCTGTTGTGGGGTCAAGAAGCCCAAGTTATCTGGAAGTGGAACGCACACTCACGGGAACCAGTCCACCACTGTCCCCGGCTCTAGTTCAGGACCTCTTCAAAACCACCAGCATGCGGATGGCAGCAGTGGTCGGGAGAATGTGTCAGACTTAACTCTGGGACCTGGAAACTCTCCCATTACACGAATGAATCCCGCATCGGGAGCTCTGAGTCCTCTTCCCCGACCCAATGGAACTGCCAACACCACCAAGAATCTGGTGGTGACTGCAGAGATGTGCTGCTACTGCTTTGATGTCCTCTACTGTCACCTCTATGGCTTCCCTCAGCCACGACTTCCTAGATTCACCAATGACCCCTAGTGAGTAAATCCCTCAGAGCAGGGGACAATGGGAAAGGCAGGATGGCATCTTCCCACTACTTATAAAAACTCGAATGTGATTTAGGAATAGGGTGGTGAGAAATACCTAGAGTATCCACTGGATTCAGTATTGGAAAGGGACTAGGTTATATTTGGAGGAGGTGTAGGCTGGTGAAAGTAATGTTCTGGAAATCAGGATTTTTTTCTTGGCTCTTCTGTTGTTTCAAATGTACAGGTCACACTGTCACATCGTCACACTGTCACATCGTTGTGGACCCCCGTAGTGTTGAAGTCCAGGTGAACTGGGAGCTCATTTAATGGGAGCTGCGATGCTTTCACAGGGTCCCCTCCCTCTGTTCAACAGCAATCCCAAGGAAATCTCAGGGCTGCTGGCACCCCACCCACATGTCAGAATCTGCTCTACTGGTTAGTTGGTTTTGTTAACCCTCACCTGAGGATATTTTTCCGTTGATTTCTAGAGTGAATGGGAGGGAAGGAGAGAGAGAAACATTGATGTGAGAGAGACACAACAACTGGTTGCCTCCCTCACGTGCCCCAACCAGGGCTGGGGATCGAACCTGCAACCGAGGTACATGCCCTTGACCAGGATCAAACCCAGGACCCTTCCGGTCGCGGGCCTACACTCTATTCACCGAGCCAAACCGGCGAGGGCTCTGTTTTACTCTTTTTAATTCAAGACTCTGTTGTTTGTCCCCAGCCCTCTCACGTGCCAATGATGGGAGCAGTATGTGTATAAAGTGCAAAGTGAGGAAACTCAGGCCAGTGTCTGCTCCTGTCTCGGAATCGGAGCAACTCCAAGCTGGCTTGGAAGAGCTTTTGAGCTTTGTTTTCTGAGATGCGTGGAGCACGCAGTATAGGAAGGCCTTGCACAGCCACTGGGCAGGGAGTGCAGAGGCATGAAGAGAAGTCCTTGTTCTTGGGAGACTTGTTGAGTCCTCCAACCACAGGCACAAAGTGAAATAGTGTGTGGTGCACTGTGGGCAGAGTGGAGCAGAAGTCATCCCTCCTGTGTGGTGGTGTCAGAGGAGAAGAGATGAAGAGAAAAAGTCCTAACTTTTCAGGGCAATATTGCCACAGGGTACCATAGTCAGAAAAACCCTGCAGAACAGGTGCAGATGATCCCACTGGGTCTGAGTGGGAGCAGGCGTATCTCTAAAGGAGAGGGACACAGGTTGGGAGAGTGGGTGGTGGCTGCAGCATTGCAGGGCCATTCTATTTGGGCTCCTATTTCCGCCTGCAGACAGTGGACTACTTGAGGGCTGTGGAGTAGTGTTGAGACAGTAACTCTAGCTGGTGCTGTTCAAGTGTGTTAGTATAAGGGAAAGACGTGTGGGTGGGAGATCCGCTTTGTAACAATGATCAAAGAAGTATGTAACTTGAAATTTTTAAGTTGCTTTTTAGAAGTGTTTAATTCAGGCATCAAAGAGGTAAAGGCATAGGAGCATGGAGGAGTCTCAAGAAGAGAGACAGACCCGAGACTTCTTCCTAGAAAACCCGTCACCATCCATCTGATGTAGCCTAGAAACAGAAGGTGGTAATTTCTGCTAATACTAAGCTCTCTTCTGGAAACATTGTTTTTCTTTTCTGAACATTTATGAGCAGGAGATATTTGTAGTTGCCATTGGCAGAAATAACTATGGGAACAGTGTGGAGCTGTAGGGAGTGCGTGCAGATAAGAAGGAGAAGGTGCAGAGGCCCAGTGTGTCTGCATGAAGGGTGGAACTAGGGAACTTGGACATTCAAAATAGAGTAAAGAAGAGGAGAAGGACATGGAGAATTAGAAGAAAAAAAAGTGAAGTCCTGGACAGAGGAAGAGGACTGTAGCACATGCATGTGTCAGCAAGGCCCGTGGGAAAGGCTGCCCAGAGGGCCTTTCTTCATGCGCCTTGCGAGGTGTCCTCTCCATGTCCCACCGGGACTGTACGCCTCCCAGAGGGGACTAGAGTCCTGCAGGGAGCTGGCAGTTCAGAAAGCAATCATTTGGGGGAATAACAAATGAACAGGAATAAAGCCAAGGTTTGTTCTTATCCATGATTGATTTGGGGCTGGAGAGTGTTTTGTGTTTTGCTTTTTTAGTCCGCTCTTTGTGACATGGAAGACAGGGCGGGACAAGCGGCTTCGTGGCTGCATTGGGACCTTCTCAGCCATGAATCTTCATTCAGGACTCAGGGAATACACGTTAACCAGGTAATTACACGAGGCATAAGATTGGTGGAAAAATTGGCGATCAAATTTGTCTACAGAATTGAAAACAACTGCCAGACTTTATGTCTTCAAAGTAATAAAGAATGAGTGTTCTCTTCTTGGTGATCAGGAACTGTGGAGGCTGTAATCTGTGAGTCACTTACTGGTTCAAGTATAGACAGTTAATAGCATCAATTGTTTTTAGCACCTGGGTATGAATGGATAATAGACGTTCTCTGCATAGCTCCAGTTGTAAATATTCGGGCACATGCTCCCAACTCCAGAGTAGCCTCACTTACGTGTTTTTGTCCCCTTCCAGTGCACTTAAGGACAGTCGGTTCCCCCCCCTGACCCGAGAGGAGCTGCCTAAACTTTCCTGCTCTGTCTCCCTCCTTACTAACTTTGAGGATGCCAGTGATTACCTGGACTGGGAGGTGAGAACAGCTGCATTTGGAACTCTGCGTTGCATTTGGGTTCGGGTTAGTACATGGTGATGTATCTCCTTCATTGAGAGGGTATAAGAATGTGACAGTTGAGTTTGGAAACAATTACGGGCAGCATGGGTGGACAGAAAAAGTGCTACAATATCAGAAGCAGAATTATGAAGATTTCTCTTCTTTCTTCCAAGTCTGCTTTGGTTCACGTCCTTCTCCCATGCCTAATAAGTAATAATGAGATGGGGGAGGAAAGGGGGACATCTGTAATACTTGCAACAATAAAGATAAATTAAAAATAATGACAATAATATTAAATAAACAACAAAAGAAACAATCATGATAAAGTGGAATATTCCAGATCCTTCTGGGTGAGCCCTGAGTCAAAGTTGTTATTTAGAGTCATTTGTGAAGGGCCCTGAGCCAGATCAAACCCTGTGGCATATTCATTTAATGGACTAGATTGAAGGTGGAGTGTTCAAGATGATCAGATGAGCAATTGAAAGAATTTATTCCTATAATCCTTATACACTTAGGTGATTACATGTGAATCACATCTCTCAAGCTAGTTTTTTTGGCTTTTATATCTGACATCATTCGTGATGAAAATCAAGAGGTTCTCCTCTTCATGTGTGGGTGGCTGAAATGTCCTTAGAATAAATCAGTGCCATTTATTTGGTTGTGGGTTTTTTTTTGTAGGTAGGGGTCCATGGAATACGAATTGAATTCATCAATGAAAAAGGTGTCAAACGTACAGCCACATATTTACCTGAGGTTGCTAAGGAGCAAGGTGAGTTGGACAAATGGAATTTCATTGAACAACACTGAACATGGTGTTGCTGACTAACAGGCAGGAGAATAGAGTGTGTGGTCTTTCAGCCCAAATGCCACTACCACTAAGAATGAGTGGCGTGGTCTTTTTAATACCTACCCAGCTTCTTCTAGAAGGAGGAATGAACTCTGAACGATGCAGAAGCTGGGAGAAGAAGGGGGGAATGATTGCTCCTACTTACTTGCTTATTTCACTTTCAGGGAATAGCTTTATTTCTTGTCCTCCAAGATTGGTGATTGTAGTAAAATTCCACCAATCAACTTGACCATATTATGGAGTTCATTGTAAAGGGAAGCTGCCCATATCGGGAGTTTTGAACTCTTGGTCATGAATTATTAAACAGTATTATACTTGGAAAAAGGCAAAATGTAATTAATCCTATTTTTTAAAGAATTTAGCAGTGGAGGTGTTGGGGGCGAAGGAACTTGGTAGTTACTAAGTTCTTAAACTGTGACATTGAAGATGGGAAATGGGTTGGGCAGGTTTCCCTTTAAAAGAATACCTATAAATGTTGCTTGTACATTCTGTGATATGTAACCTCATATTCTTTCTTTCTTGGAATTCTGTTTTTTTATTATTAATATGTAAATTAACACGCACACAGTATTTGTTAGATGTGAACCTGAAATAGAGAAAAATGTCCGGTTTAATACGTCAGTGAACTAATTATATGGCCAGCGGGTTGCCTTGTTGATTTTCATTGTGGTTGTATTTAAACTTTTTCAAAAGCAGTGAAGATGTGACATAAAACAGAAGCCTTTTATCCACCTTTTTGAAATCATAAATCCCATATTTCTGTACGAGAGGGCACACCATAAGTATTTTCTGATACTGAGATGTGATGATAACTTCGGTAAATAATCAGAGTACTTTTGCCATTTGAATATTGTTTGGGAAAATTAAAAAGTGGCACATACTGCAGTAATTTAGGGAGTTTTGTTTGGTTTTCAGTTTGATATATTCGGTTTTATCTGTTACAAACATGCAAGAACAACACAGCAGCACTGTGTGAACAACTTTCCCATCCTTTTTAAAGAAATAGCTTCCCTCCTACTATCAAGTCTCTATAATTGAAAACTGGACTCCAAGAAATCATCAAATGAAGAAAGG